TTTTTTAGGTTTCCACAGCTGCCTCACATTTAATGCACAGTCATGTGCTGATCTTCATCTTGTCTCTGTTCACAAAAGGAAAGCGGATCGATGTTGAATAATGCATATTTGTGCTCGAAATACCCTCAAGGTTCAACCGGCATGTGATGCATGCTGAATGTTAGCATTGCATCATGCATGGGTGGGATGATTTGCTTCTGCACTCCCAACTCAACTGATGCGGTATAATTTAATTCCCTGCCAACATGTATGTCAAGCAGGTGCAGGAGTTTGAAGCGATCACCTTGTTGTCAGTGTTTCATTAAACAGACAGAAAAGCAGGGATCTGGAATGAATGATGAAATAGCTGGTGGGGATGGTGAGGCCAATTATACTGAAGCATTTTTTTGTCCTTGTTTAAAATAGGTCTCTCCAGCAAATCCCTTTTCTTATGAGGGTCAGATGATGTCATATGCTAATTACGATATATAAATAGTATATTGTAAATGGCATGAGCCATAATGAATAATGTGTCATAATGACTCATGGCATGTTTCATGAAGATAAATGTAGATTTTTAAAGATATGAAACATATGACCTAAATTAGCAGAGAATTAGATCATAATGAGAGACAACAGTTCATGTCATGTTCTGTCAGAGTCACCATGACTTGGCTGATCTCTTCCTTAAAACAACACCACACACCAATGCAACTGGGCTGGACAGCCACAAGAAAGGTTCACAGGCTGAGATCAGTGCAAAAAATGTCACTTCATTCCGAACATCCATGCACAAAAAGAAGGGTGCTCAAAGTCCAAAAAATAATAAAAAATAGTTAAAAACAGCCGCAAACGTTTCAGTCGATAGTCAAGGACTGTAACGATGTGCAGTCTCCTCTGCAGTCATTTCTTGGTTGTCCATAGCGACACACCCAAGATACACTTTTTGTTGCCCTAAGTAGGCGCAGTTTCACACTTAACTTAATATCACACTTCCCTTAAAACAATACAAACGGGGCGTCGGTGGCTTGGTGGATACAGTGGCTGTTGCCGGAGCGGGTCCAGCCTGTGGCCCTTTGCTGCATGTCATCCCCTCTCTCTCTCTCTCCCCCTTTCACACTTGACTGTCCTATCCATTAAAGGCAAAAATGCCCAAAAACATATCTTAAAAACAAAACAAAAAACAATACAAACAAACTGCAACAATTTCACAATTTAATGCTTAATTGTCATATCAACATGACTGATTGGACTATGCCTTAGTGAACTCACTTTTAAGCCCTCTGAGGCTGAACTACAAATATTAAGACTGTGTTTGCAATCAACAACTTTTCACTTTTAAAGCCTTTGTTATGTAAAATGACTAGGGCTGTACCTAATGTCATTTTTTTACATTCAAAACTTCTATTGAGGTTTTAGAATGACACAACACATATTCAAGATTCAAGATTCAATACTTTATTGCAATGTCGACATGTCGATAGGAATTTGTTTCAGTGGAGCTTCACGCACTGACAAAGCAACACTCACTCAATATGTTCCACAATAAAATGAATACATACAAATAATATGGATTGAAGCAGAACATTTTGTTAGATGAAAACATGTTGTGAATTTTGTAAATAATTACTTGTATCTTTTTTTCCAATCAATTTTGACTTTTGGACTTTACTCTAGAGTTATTGCAAATGTTTGCATCACAGGAATCAGAAACAGTCCACCACAGGCACCACTGGAATCTACCTCTACAAATACTATAATACTAATAATGTTATTGTAGCCTAGGACTTAGATGAGGGACTTAAACAGTTGCACAGAATCCCTTTACAGATTTCCTTAGTTAAGGAAAAAATGTTAGCTCATGTACTGCATTGAAAGAGTTACAGCGGTAAAAGTTTCCATGGTGATTCTTTGTTTGCTTGGACTCACATTTGTGATGCCTGTTATTGTCTCAGAGAGTTGGTCTGTAGTTAGGTAGTGAAAAAATGGCAGACGAAAAGAAGACAGGAAAACCAGGAGGAAAAGATTATACTTATGTATCCAGTGTATCCACTGGTTTCTCTGGTTGCAGAACACTCTTCTCGGGGTGTGTTAGTTTTTCCTCCTTTATCACTATGAAGTCGGTCATTTTGCAATTAAGCTAGAGTCAGAGGTACCTTAAGATTTTTCCTTTTTTAGCCAAGACAAGGAGAAAACCACAAGTGCTAAACAGGACATTTCAAGGAAACCTTAAGGAGAAGACTTAAGGGTGTTTTGTGCAACTGATTTTATTATGAGGAAACCTTAACTCGGACTTCACGGAAGAGCAGATCTTTCTGAACAGAGTAAATAGGCATGCAAAAAACAGAACAAAACAAAACAAAAAGCTGTGCAGCATTCAATAATGCAACAATAATACATTTTATTTATAAGTGCTTTTCAAGTCACGCAGTTTAAGTCAGGACAAGATATAAACAGGACAAGATATAAAGATAACGGTGGAAAGAAAAATGATAATGAAAGTAATAATAACAAAGAGCAAAAACAACAGTTACTGAATATATGAACAGATAAGGGAGTAGATTCATAATAAACACATTAGGAAGCATCAGGAAAGGCTCATCTAAAAATGTGAGTTTTGGGTTGATGTGCACTGGTGCAGACATTTTGAGGACCTTAAATCACCATGAAGTTTTTTACTGAATGATTTTGTCAGTAACACAAAAACTCTTCCTCCCTTTGGTCTGAAAAAGAAATGAAATTTGTTTTATATCACTTTAGAAGAAATTACATTACGCTCATTTGGCCGTCACTTTTGCATAAAGTGTTTTACAGTAAGTGCATTGAAATGCCATGAATAAACTAATAGATGTAAAAATACAGTGTCCTGCTTTCCCAGGCAACAAGACACTGCTATTTCTTCCTTTGCTGAGTGTGCTCTTCAGTTGTTATTAATTCCCTCTGTTGGCCAGAGGGCCACATTGCAGCACATTCTGTATCAACACATATATTTTTCTTTTTACCACCTCCTCTTTTTCTCTTCGGCAAAACAGGAAAACACTCAATTTAGATCTAAGTTATCATTTTTTCCATTTAACCGTGCCACTTAAAGTGACAGTGCATTTGACATATTTTTACATTTCCCCTCTGTTCCTTCATTTCCTGGCTATACACTGTGTATACTGTAGCTGCCAGGAGATGACAGATATGCAGCGGCCTGTGCAGTGACCCATACGCACAGCATGCCTTGCAGCACAGGGCTGTAGGAAGGGTCTGTGTGAATGAATGTGACTGTGCCCAGTGGGGAAGAGTGGGGAACAGGTGCCGACACTGTCAGCTTGTTAACACTGGGGAGAGAATTGGCTCCTCCGATGAAGTGCGGCACATATGCAACACATAGCCTTTGGCAGTGGGACGTATGTGCAGGCATGCATACATGTGAAGAGGAGAAAGGATGTGTGTGAGTGTGTGTGATGTTAAATGTGTTTAATAGGAATTTGATTTGTTTGCCCAATGATTATTAGCATAAAAAATAGACGTCTGACTGCACTGTGGACGTTGAATACATTAAATAAAAGCAGTTTTGTTGAGCTGGTACCACCCTGATTAGTAACCCTGATAAGTGCGCATGCTTGTCAGCATCCTGGGTGTTGCACTGTGTATTACTGCGGAGAGAGACTGTATAATGTGCAAAACACAAAGCCCCTAATTTGTTGTCCAATAATACTTTATAAGTTTCGACATAAATTTTGTTTTGAGCACATTGTTAGAGCGTTATTATGTGGCTCCGTTTTCTACAAAAGCTTTGGGAGATATAGTTATACGAACCCCCCTAGGGTTATGTGCAAGAAATTCTCTCAAACATCACAAATTAGGCCCCTAGATGACCCATTTCTAGAAGAACTAAATTGACACAATGAATTATTCCATCCAGTCTTGTGGCCTCTATAACGAGAAGGGGACTTGGAACAGAGGATAAATTAGGACACTCAATTCTAGCTTCTCTCGTTTATTCCATCAAAGCCATTTAGGCAGATTTGCCCCGTTCGCCCAATTTATTCTGTGATTTCTTACCCTCTCATTTGGAGGACAGGGGGAGAAAAGAGGGAAAATGAATGTGAGTTTGGAGAAATTGGCTGCTACATTTTGGAGATAATAAGACACAAGGATAATGTGTCAGAATCAATTTAATTCTGGTTTAGTTGTGAGGAACTCGACACATCCTTTATCTTTTGGAAAAGACACTGGCGGAGCCCTGCCCCAAATAAATCACTAATAGCTGCTAGCTATAAAGTAAAAGGGGAAAGTGAGAATGTTGTTTAGAATAAAATGATGGTTTACAGCGGAGGGAGGGAACGAGAGAGTCGGTGTGATGGAGGGAGAAAAAAGGAGAAGCTGCAGTAAAAGAGGAAACAACACAGTATAACCGATATAGTACATGTGCTAATTCTTACACTCTTTCAGCCTGTTTATCAGCATCACTATTCCACTGGGGAGGAAAAGAAATCACACTTACAGTATGTCCACTGTATTTAAAATTAGCTACGACATTGAGGAACAGCGTGCATGTCTTACTGTCAACCGTGCGGGATGCTTTGCCAGGCTGCACGGTTCTGTACATCAAAGACAACACAGCAAAATGAGATGGCTTCTAACAAATACTGCATTGAGCTCAACTCAAGTGTCAAATCCGCAGGGTCCACGGGGGATATGGTTACTGTCACCTGAGGGTTAAAGCCTCCTCGCGGGTTTGATGTCTGAATATTAGGTTATTTGATATGCTGCTGCTCTTTCAAGTCAGCCTGGCAGGACAAGACTGCGAGCAGATTTCCCACAAGGACTTTAACTGCTCAGCGGAGAGACAGACATCACTCTCAAGCCCCATCAAAGCCGAGCTCTCCTCCCTCTGCCCTCTGCATGCATCACTAGGCCGCAGATGCTTTTCATATTAATTTGGCGCCTTCTAGTGGAAGTATAGAAGAATTACATCACTTACCCTGTTTTTCTTTTTCAAGTGACTGTTGTGTGTTTTTCATCCACAGTGACAATGGTGTTGTTTCTGATTGGGATCTCTATTGCTGTGAATAATTCATCCCATGAGAACCAAACTGCAGGTAACTGCTGAAACAACTTAAGAGCAATTATACCACATATGGCGAGGAACAGATGTTAGGGCGAGACCATGTAACTTTTGGAGGAGGATGACAATTTTTTCTGCATACACATGAAAAGTTGAATTCATTAGCATTAAACAACACACTTTAATACACTCAGTGATTTTGCTGCCACAGCTGAACTCGGTCTGGTATAACCAGTGCCTTATGGCACAATAATGTTAGCTAATGTTAACAAACCTTTCACCATTACTGCTGTGCAACTGATGTCAAGTCAGTTTGCTGACTTCATGACTCTTCTGTACTTGTGCTGCTGATATATTCCTACAGAGGTCACCACTCAGCAGAAGTTACGTAGCCCTGCTTTAAGAGTTGACATTTTGGAAAATATAGTTTCTTGCAAAGAGTTAGATTTAAAAGATGATGGACGCTATGGCTAACAGCTAGTTATCTTAGCGCAAAGATTGGACATGAGAGGAACCAGCTGCCCAAAGGTAGAAAATCTGCTCATCAGCGCCTCTGAAGCTCACAAATAACATGCTTCATATTAAACGGACAGATGAAAACAAATGAAAACAAACCAATTCCTTTAAAGGGACAGTCATCCCCAAATCAAAAATACACATTTTTCCTCCTAGCTGTAGTTCTAGTTATCATTCTAGGTTGTTTCGTTGTGAGTTGCCAAGTGTTGGAGATATTGGCCGTAGAAATCTTTGCCTTCTCTCAAATATAATGGAACTAGATGGCACTTGGCTATTAAATGCATGTGAAAGAAACTCAACAGCAATGTCTCTTACCAGAAATCACTACCCTGTTAATCCAGATAATACACAGACTTTGTTGTGAGCAGTTTCATGTAGGATCTATTTTCTCTGAACTGCATAACACCCACCAACTGCGCAGAAGAAGGAAGAGTGCATCTACTCATGGACGAGAGGCTCGTGCTCGTGATGACATGAGAAGTAAACATTAATGGCGTGACGTTAGCTAACTCAGTGGTACTACGTGAGTTAGCAGTAGATGCACGCTTCCTTCTGCGCAGTGATACTATAGGTAGGTGTAGTTCTGTAGAAAGAAAATATTTCCTCCGTGAAACAACCAAGTAACCAGGTCATGATTTCTGAAAAGCGACCTTTCTGTAGAGTTTTTTCAGAATTTTTTCTGGCACTTCGAGCACCACAAATCAAGTGCCATCTAAATCCAACACATGCAAGAGAAGGCATACATCTCTATATGGCTATATCTATATCTCACACCAAAATAATGATAAATATTGCTGCAGGTAAGAGGGAAATGTGTAGTTTTGATTTGGTGTATCAACTGTGCCCTTAAATATCAATAAGTTTGAATCTATTTCAGGGTTAAAACTATCACTGTGCTTCTCTGCAGAAAACCCCACCCATCAGGGTGCTCACGTGCTGCCCTCAACACTGGTCATCTCACTGCTTCTCATCATCGTTGTCCTGCTGACAATCTACTGTTTAAGGTGAATAAACCTGCAGGCACACAACTTACTGTATTTGAATCTCTGCTTTCTCTTTTCTCTCTTTCTCTACCTTTCAGCACGTGTGTGAGCATAAAAGAGAGTGTGTCGGGTCAGGGCATAGGGGCATCTGGGTGGGGGTGGTTTTGGAAACAGGCTGTAAGCAGTGGCTTATGGGTAAACAGCTGCACCTCAAGTAAGACAGCAAACAAAAACAGCTAGGTCAGGTCAGGTCACAGACACTCGTTCACTGACCAGCCAGTTCAGACCTCCTTTTCCTGACGACATGAGGAGGAGCAGCTTTGCCTCGCTCGGATGGTTGATATTGGTTTTAGTATTTGTTGTTTGCTTACCGTATGTGCTCAGCAGCTCTGCTCTAGACATCGGGGTTAGATTATTTTTTGCTTTCTCAATACAGATATCTGCCCTTTATTTTCTCTGACAGCCTCTGCTTCTCTCTCTGTCATTACCGTAGGTTCAAAAACCACAGGAAAGCTCTGGTTACCTCGGTGGACAAAAAGATTCCAAATGGCTTCTTGGAGGAACAAGGTACTGTTGTGCTGTACTCAATATAACCAGCAGTGCATGAAAATATAATATAGCCTTTTACTTTTTATTTCTTTTTTATTTTAAGTGCAGGTTTACATTCTTTATAGACTAGGAAAATTTCATGATCTGAAGTCCAAGGTAGCTGGAAAGGTTTTGGAAGGCTCTTGGCTTTCCTAGCACGTAGGGAGCCATATAAACTTTCACTTCAAGTAGAAAATAAATATATTAACGGAAAGGCCAAATTCTGAGTTAAGACAGTTCCATGCAGCGGCAGCGGCATGTTTATGACTCAAGAAATCATTTCTGTCATGTACCCACAAAAGTAGGAAATCTTAATGGCCATCAGGCTTGTTTTTGCAGGTGCTATGAGAGCTTGTAATGTTCTCTATTGGGAAACATTAGCAGTCTGACTGCCGTATATTCCTTTAAACACAGGAGAGCAGACAGTGGTCCTCCTCCCCAGATCTCCCTCGCCATCCAAGAGGTACTTCCCCATCCCTCTGGACTCACTGGAGGAGGAGTACCGGATACGCTCCGCAGACGATGGCAAGCTCTTCAGAGAGGAGTTCAATGTAAGCACGAGTTTGTGTGGTGCGGACTGTGCTCTGCAGTCTGTATCTGACTAAGATCTTTGTCCTGCAAGCATAGAACAAGTACAGAACATAGTAATAAAAATGTTATGCTGGTAGGCTGTGTACCCGTGGCTTTATTTCTATCTCATGAGGATTGGGGGTTCTTTCTTTATAGTCGCTGCCGTGTTACTACCACCACGGGTCTTTTGAGGAGGCGAGCAGAGAGCACAACAGAGAGAAAAACAGATACCCAAACATTTTACCATGTGAGTGAGGATCTATATTCTGCAGCAGGCAATATTAATGTAACCTTTAGACTTGCAGTTTTATTGATCTCTAAATCGTAAGGAAAGGTGATGTGGGCTGAATGAAAAATAAGAACCAATTTTATTTACAGGCTGTTTTTTTTCTTCTCTCTCCTGTAGACGATCATTCAAGAGTCATTTTAAGTCATCTTGATGGACATCTCTGTTCGGACTACATTAATGCATCATACATAGATGTGAGTCTTACTCGCAAAGAAAGGAGCTCTATGTGATATTCAGGCCATTCATTAAATCAGCAAACAACTATTTGCCATATAAAGATTCAGTGGAGTTATGGCGTCCTGAGCAGAGAATGAAGTCACGCTCCCTCTGTGTGTGTTGTAATCGGAGCTTGGGCATGTGCATGTTATTGCATGTGAGTCTCNTACTGAAAGAACATGAAGGGGGAACCTGTGGTGGATTAGCTGCCACAGAAGGAGGAAGAATAAAGATCATGAGTCATACAGTTTTAGCATCAAGATACACACAACAAATCTTATAAAGTTCAACTTGCGATATGTGAACTGTGTTCTCAGTTCATGTCTCAGACTTGCACAGTGTTGCACAGCTGTTTCTCTCTGGCATTCGCACGTTTGTCTTCACTCATTTTGTCACGCTTTTGTCCTTCAACCATGCAGAGTAGTAAAGCAGCATTATCTTAATAAACCTCACTCACAGATTCTGACCTATCAGATGATACCTGATTGCAAGGGCTCTGTCTGACTGGCCAGTTGAAGAGTTAACAGCATGACACATATGAGACAGAAAAAGTTACTGTATTTAAAGTGCAATATGGCGGCCTTTTATTGAGCGAGTTAACACCACAATGAGGATAAAAAGGATATTGTTAATCCCCATATGATAGCAGATTTAATGTCCCAGAGGCTGTGAGATTATTTCATGTGACAATTCAGCTGCAGTCTATAGCTATAGTAGGGGAAGCTGCTTCGTTATTGAATTTAAGAGATAACTGTAGATGCCCTTTTTGTCACGGTTATAAAAGGATATGTCAGCAACCTCCATCCAGAGTTTTATGTTGTGGCAACCGGACGTTTAATAGACCTTTTAACGAGTAAAATTCTTCTCTCTTATAAATGATATGAGGTCAACAGAGGTGATACAAATCAGCTTGAGGTGACTAGATCTATTAGCATATGTGTATCCATACTTGGCCCGAAACCAGATTCTGATTCTGATCTAGTAAGATATTTAAGAGCTTTAATATTGATTTAAAGCTGCTGTCGAGCTACTTAACATTCAAGACTTTTTACTTTTTATGGCATGCATTTGAGAGATGAGGAGCGTGCCCTATACGGCACGTGTCTTACACAGCACGTCAGTATTGTTCCCTGTGGAGAGTGCATGTAATTCATTATTAAAATGAGGTGTTTAACAGGGCCAGGAGGTCAGCATGAACTCATGTTATTATGTTTTAAGTATTTAGAAATTTGCACAAACATTCAGAGAACCACACTTGGATGTATTTGTATTGTTAAATACTAGCAAAGGAAAATCTGTCTCCTGGTCGTTAAAGGTTAAATCTGTAAATACAGTCATTTTAAAAACAGCGTGGGGAAAAACTCTCACCTGGGTCAGTCATATTTTTATGCTCCTGGTTGGAAATGGATAATAGATTGCCTTCCCCTGCACAGTTTGGTTTGAATTAATGATAAACAGGAGTGAAAAAGCTGCAGGTCTGGCAAAAGGAAAAGACACATCTCTGTGGCGGGTGTTTCTATTTCTGATGTCTATTTTCTGTGAGTCTCGCTTTCAGGTTTTCATGTGAGAGCCAAGGTGAGGGAGATGTTGAAGTGAAGCAGAACAGATTCATTTCAGGAGGCTGTGAGTCTTTGAATTTGAGAGGTGCACAGTATATATATCACTGATTTCTTTTCTCACCAAGGGTTTTTTAGGTTTCCACAGCTGCCTCACATTTAATGCACAGTCATGTGCTGATCTTCATCTTGTCTCTGTTCACAAAAGGAAAGCGGATCGATGTTGAATAATGCATATTTGTGCTCGAAATACCCTCAAGGTTCAACCGGCATGTGATGCATGCTGAATGTTAGCATTGCATCATGCATGGGTGGGATGATTTGCTTCTGCACTCCCAACTCAACTGATGCGGTATAATTTAATTCCCTGCCAACATGTATGTCAAGCAGGTGCAGGAGTTTGAAGCGATCACCTTGTTGTCAGTGTTTCATTAAACAGACAGAAAAGCAGGGATCTGGAATGAATGATGAAATAGCTGGTGGGGATGGTGAGGCCAATTATACTGAAGCATTTTTTTGTCCTTGTTTAAAATAGGTCTCTCCAGCAAATCCCTTTTCTTATGAGGGTCAGATGATGTCATATGCTAATTACGATATATAAATAGTATATTGTAAATGGCATGAGCCATAATGAATAATGTGTCATAATGACTCATGGCATGTTTCATGAAGATAAATGTAGATTTTTAAAGATATGAAACATATGACCTAAATTAGCAGAGAATTAGATCATAATGAGAGACAACAGTTCATGTCATGTTCTGTCAGAGTCACCATGACTTGGCTGATCTCTTCCTTAAAACAACACCACACACCAATGCAACTGGGCTGGACAGCCACAAGAAAGGTTCACAGGCTGAGATCAGTGCAAAAAATGTCACTTCATTCCGAACATCCATGCACAAAAAGAAGGGTGCTCAAAGTCCAAAAAATAATAAAAAATAGTTAAAAACAGCCGCAAACGTTTCAGTCGATAGTCAAGGACTGTAACGATGTGCAGTCTCCTCTGCAGTCATTTCTTGGTTGTCCATAGCGACACACCCAAGATACACTTTTTGTTGCCCTAAGTAGGCGCAGTTTCACACTTAACTTAATATCACACTTCCCTTAAAACAATACAAACGGGGCGTCGGTGGCTTGGTGGATACAGTGGCTGTTGCCGGAGCGGGTCCAGCCTGTGGCCCTTTGCTGCATGTCATCCCCTCTCTCTCTCTCTCCCCCTTTCACACTTGACTGTCCTATCCATTAAAGGCAAAAATGCCCAAAAACATATCTTAAAAACAAAACAAAAAACAATACAAACAAACTGCAACAATTTCACAATTTAATGCTTAATTGTCATATCAACATGACTGATTGGACTATGCCTTAGTGAACTCACTTTTAAGCCCTCTGAGGCTGAACTACAAATATTAAGACTGTGTTTGCAATCAACAACTTTTCACTTTTAAAGCCTTTGTTATGTAAAATGACTAGGGCTGTACCTAATGTCATTTTTTTACATTCAAAACTTCTATTGAGGTTTTAGAATGACACAACACATATTCAAGATTCAAGATTCAATACTTTATTGCAATGTCGACATGTCGATAGGAATTTGTTTCAGTGGAGCTTCACGCACTGACAAAGCAACACTCACTCAATATGTTCCACAATAAAATGAATACATACAAATAATATGGATTGAAGCAGAACATTTTGTTAGATGAAAACATGTTGTGAATTTTGTAAATAATTACTTGTATCTTTTTTTCCAATCAATTTTGACTTTTGGACTTTACTCTAGAGTTATTGCAAATGTTTGCATCACAGGAATCAGAAACAGTCCACCACAGGCACCACTGGAATCTACCTCTACAAATACTATAATACTAATAATGTTATTGTAGCCTAGGACTTAGATGAGGGACTTAAACAGTTGCACAGAATCCCTTTACAGATTTCCTTAGTTAAGGAAAAAATGTTAGCTCATGTACTGCATTGAAAGAGTTACAGCGGTAAAAGTTTCCATGGTGATTCTTTGTTTGCTTGGACTCACATTTGTGATGCCTGTTATTGTCTCAGAGAGTTGGTCTGTAGTTAGGTAGTGAAAAAATGGCAGACGAAAAGAAGACAGGAAAACCAGGAGGAAAAGATTATACTTATGTATCCAGTGTATCCACTGGTTTCTCTGGTTGCAGAACACTCTTCTCGGGGTGTGTTAGTTTTTCCTCCTTTATCACTATGAAGTCGGTCATTTTGCAATTAAGCTAGAGTCAGAGGTACCTTAAGATTTTTCCTTTTTTAGCCAAGACAAGGAGAAAACCACAAGTGCTAAACAGGACATTTCAAGGAAACCTTAAGGAGAAGACTTAAGGGTGTTTTGTGCAACTGATTTTATTATGAGGAAACCTTAACTCGGACTTCACGGAAGAGCAGATCTTTCTGAACAGAGTAAATAGGCATGCAAAAAACAGAACAAAACAAAACAAAAAGCTGTGCAGCATTCAATAATGCAACAATAATACATTTTATTTATAAGTGCTTTTCAAGTCACGCAGTTTAAGTCAGGACAAGATATAAACAGGACAAGATATAAAGATAACGGTGGAAAGAAAAATGATAATGAAAGTAATAATAACAAAGAGCAAAAACAACAGTTACTGAATATATGAACAGATAAGGGAGTAGATTCATAATAAACACATTAGGAAGCATCAGGAAAGGCTCATCTAAAAATGTGAGTTTTGGGTTGATGTGCACTGGTGCAGACATTTTGAGGACCTTAAATCACCATGAAGTTTTTTACTGAATGATTTTGTCAGTAACACAAAAACTCTTCCTCCCTTTGGTCTGAAAAAGAAATGAAATTTGTTTTATATCACTTTAGAAGAAATTACATTACGCTCATTTGGCCGTCACTTTTGCATAAAGTGTTTTACAGTAAGTGCATTGAAATGCCATGAATAAACTAATAGATGTAAAAATACAGTGTCCTGCTTTCCCAGGCAACAAGACACTGCTATTTCTTCCTTTGCTGAGTGTGCTCTTCAGTTGTTATTAATTCCCTCTGTTGGCCAGAGGGCCACATTGCAGCACATTCTGTATCAACACATATATTTTTCTTTTTACCACCTCCTCTTTTTCTCTTCGGCAAAACAGGAAAACACTCAATTTAGATCTAAGTTATCATTTTTTCCATTTAACCGTGCCACTTAAAGTGACAGTGCATTTGACATATTTTTACATTTCCCCTCTGTTCCTTCATTTCCTGGCTATACACTGTGTATACTGTAGCTGCCAGGAGATGACAGATATGCAGCGGCCTGTGCAGTGACCCATACGCACAGCATGCCTTGCAGCACAGGGCTGTAGGAAGGGTCTGTGTGAATGAATGTGACTGTGCCCAGTGGGGAAGAGTGGGGAACAGGTGCCGACACTGTCAGCTTGTTAACACTGGGGAGAGAATTGGCTCCTCCGA